GTACGGCGGATGGGGTGACGCGAGTGTGGTGGGGGGGGGGGTTGAGTGAATCGGTAAAAACTAAGTGCAAAAAAGGGTGAAAGGTCATTTGAAAATGGCTTAAAAAAAAATCGGCGGAGAACCCATCTGGCCCAGGCGGCTTCGCTGACTGCCTGCTTTAATTTCTTCCTGGGTGACAGGCGCGTCAAGAGTTTGTCGCGAGTTCAGAGATCCAAGGCGCATTCAAAAGCCAAAAAAAAAAAAAAAACGGTGACGCTGACAGCCTGACACAGTTTCAGTTCCGACCCATCCATTTTTAACAAACCCGGCTTATGTGCTGCATTAGCTTGCATGACACGCGATTGGTACTTTTTTTTGTCTCCTAAAAATGCGAAATATAATACAAATTATTCTTGAAAAAACTGTCAGTGTGTCTCTGGCTCGAGCGGAGCAACAACATGAAACGGAACCACGCTGGTCTCGTGGCGAATGGCGGCCAATTCTCGATCCAGCGGATTTCAACAGCGACTCTCAAAGACGGCGTTTCAAACCGTTTGCTGTCCTCTGAAACTGGAGCCCGTTGGTTTCGGCCGATTGAAATCGAGGTTGCGCTGTATTGGATAACGGCAGCCCGGCAGGAACGTAGCGCTACAAAAAAGGGGAGTGCATACAAGGTCGACGGCTGGATAGATGTGGCCGGAGGGAGAGATGGAGGGCTGGATGAATCCAGTGAAGGAAAGCATTTGGACCGCATCATCCTGCAGGGAGCATTCATGGCTGGAGCCGCAGCGGCGTCGTCTTTTAACAAGGCAGAGGGGAAAAAAAAAAAAAAAAAAAAAAAGACCATCTCGAAAATATTATTTTTTTTTCCATCCTCAACGTCGCGAGTGGACCTCGCTCACCGTGTCGCATAGCAACCGCCTTTTCCCCACAGAGAGGCACATCGGCGGGCGGGCGTTTGCGCGCGGCCTCCGCGCGGATGTTTACAGCCAGGAAGTAGTTTTATAATCAGCGGTGTTTTCACGACAGTTCCTTTTATTTTCTTGCTGCGGGAACCTGTATCAACCGCCCAAGCCTCGCTGTCCCCCCCCCAAAAAAACTCTTAATTTCCCAGCGTGATTCCGATTGACAGCTGCGTCGGTCGGTTCCGCGGCAAATGAAGGCAAAATTGCGGTGATTAATATTCAGATTTATTGCTTTAATTTGAGCCCAAGTCCCTTTTGGGAGGCGGCGGAGGGGATGCCGTCTGATTTATTTCACCTCCTCGCCGTTCTCGTTCCATCTGTAATTGGACTTTTTCCTCATGATTGACTGAGCCACTCGGAATTTTTTTTTTTTGGTGAGAACGACGTGGATCTCGGCTGCGTCTTGAAACATCTTTGAGTGACACGTGTGACCACGTGAGCTCAAATCAAGCGCTTTGAGCGTTTTTTTTTTTCTTCAGATTTATTTTTAACTGTCGCTTTAAAAAAAAAAAAAAATCCGATCCATGAACTCGTTATAATTATAGAAATTTTGAAAAAAAAAAAATAACATGGTGACTATCGATCTCCCTTTGAGCTGGGATGTTTGTTTCTTTTGTCGGTTTGCTCATAAAACTTTATTTTGGAGTGTGTCGGCCCCGGTGGGGGATCCGGGTATTCAGGTAACAAGGCAAAGGAGGCACAAAAAAAAAAAACCCAACAACAACAACAAAAAAAAAAAACAAAAAAAAAAACCCTCCCGCTGTTCCATGTTTGTGCCTAACAGATGTTTGTCTTCACACAGGCCTTTTTTGTGAAGGACTACGTGATGAATCACCCCGAGGACGGGGAGAAGATCGGGCGCCTGAGGGAACTCATGTTTGAACAGGTTGGTAACAGTAGATTAAAGCCAGGGTGAGGCATCTTTTGTTTATTTATTTAGGTGGCGTCCCTATCCCCCCCCCCCCTCCCCCTTACACAAAACAACACAGCCTGAACAAGAAGTAAACATTGTGGCCGCTGTTTGTCTTGCAGGCGCATATTCTGGAATACGGCCTGGCCGTGCACGAGAAGGTGGTGCCTCAGGACATGAGGCCTCTGCACAAGAAGCTGGTGGACCAGTTCCATTTGATGAAATCCAGTCTGGGCATCCAGGTTGGTGGCGCCTCCCGTTATTCTCAACAGACACTTAGCAACCAGCGCAACTTATTTGATTCATTGTGTGTGTGTGTGTGTGTGTGTGTCCCGCAAACCGCAGGAGTTTCCGCCTTACGTGCGCGCAAGCCCGGTGCACTTCACCAACGGAAGCCCGCGCACGTGCCGGAACTCGGTGCCGAGCAGCATCATCAGCCCAGATGGCAGCAGAGGAGTGGCCAGGCGAAGGTGAGAGACCTTCCCGCCTGGAAGGCGTCGGCCCGGCCGATGCGTGAGCGGCGCTCGAGTCGTGTGCGTGCGCGTCGATGAGCTCGGTGACCCTGCCGCGCTGCCTCTTGACCTTCCCCATCTCCTCTCTCTGGGTTTTGAATTTCATATTTATTCATTTTGGGGAGGGAGGGGGGGACGATTTCAAGCAAACCTTTTATGTTGCCGCCATCAGAGGAATTTTCCTCTCATTTACGTCTCTGTTTCCTTCTCGCCTCCTCCTTTCCCCACGCGGCTCTCGCTGCATCCTGGTGAGTCTCCGCAAAAAGCGAACCATGCCATTGCCTTCCTGATTCCGTCGTGGCTTTTGACCCACGTTTTGCCCATTTTCCCTCCTCTGCAGTCTCCTCAGTTACCCGGCAGTGAACCGCTACTCGTCGTCTTCGCTGTCCTCTCAGGCGTCCAACGAGGTCAGCAACATCACGGGTCAGTCGGAGAGCTCGGATGAAGTTTTCAACATGCAGGTACTCCAACCCGCCCGCCCCGAGAATTCAGAACAAACTCCCGATAGTTTGAGGCCTCGAGCTGCGGCGTCCTCCTTGGAAAGCACCGCGCGAGGCCTTTCGGCAGCCGTTAAAGCCTCTTGAGCCATTTTGACTTTGTACTCTTGGGAGCGCGCCGGGCGAGGTGGCCTCGTTTGACATCAGGCGTCAGCCTCTCGCAAGGCTCATGAATCGCGGGGATAGAGGAACACCCGTTTGATGGCTCATGATGATAAAAGGCGCTTGTTTTTTTTTTTTTCTCCTCTCGCCTTCCAGCCCAGTCCGTCTACCTCCAGCCTGAGCTCCAACCACTCCGCCTCACCCAACGTCACCAGCTCAGCTCCCTCCAGTGCCCGAGGTGAGAATTGCATCTTGTTGATTGCTTTTTTTTTTTTTTTTTTTTGCTGCGTTTTGGCTCATCATCCTGTTGCAACATCCATGACCTGCACCTGGACAGCACACTTTTAAAAAAAATTGCTTCGTTGATTTATCTTTTGTCTTTCAAAGCCACATGGCTATTCAATTCACCGCCAGCCCATGCGAAAACAATTGACCTTTTGACGACTATAGCCGTCAATGGCAGTGAATGAGTTGAACATCGACGTCTTGCGATTCGAGGCGAGCTGGAAAGCTCACGCAGCACGTAGCAGCTTAACTCCGACAGGGAGGCTGGAGGATGAAAAGTTAGGAACCGAGAATGGGGTGCGAGGGGATCTCATTACAGTCTCTGCTGAGTATCGCAGGTCTTCTCCGGGCCCGACTCATCGCGCGATATTTCTACCCGAAATAAATCATCAAAAGATTGAACGCGCGCCGACGTTAATGGGCGCGTATACGCTCGCCGTTGCCGAGCAGCTGGCCCGCGGCTTGCCGTAAAGCCCGTCGTGACTTATGGCTCGCGAGTCGGCGACGACAGGCCGAGGGGCTGTTGCGCCATTCGTCCGCTCTGAAGGAGAGCGTGGGCTATTTATCACGTTGCGGAGGCCAGCGGGAGGCGAATCGCACTCAGCCCGCGTCCAGGTCTTGGCGTGTAACAGTCTAACGCCTCCCCCGCCGCTCCGCGTGTGTTCCCGCTCTGACTCACGGCCGGCCGCCCGCTGCAGGTTCGCCGCAGATGGCCGAGAAACACAAGCACTCCAGAGAGAACGCCTGCCTGTCGCCGAGAGAGAGGCCCGTCAGTGCCATCTTCCCCAACCCGCTGGACCCTGCGCAGGTTGGCGACAGTGATGCATTAAGATGGCAGATGTGATTCGCACGACAGAAAATATTCAGGCATTTTCCATCTATATATCTGTAGTCTCTCCTTTTGAAACATTTATCAGAGAATACAAATCTTTACCTCGTTTTGTATTTGATCCACTTTTTCAAATATCGGCGCAAGTGTTGTTGATGTTCTATGAAGGCTCGCCTTCACCAAAAGCAAACATTGAAGCCTTTAGAAAAAGACGATTTTGCTTGCCTCTCCCACCCAAGGCCAACGCGTGTACACTTGAGCCTCGACGGCGGATATGGTTGAAAGAAGAAAAACAGCACAAATCTGTGTTTGCTTCTCAAGGCTGTTCAACTCCCCCGCACTTCACCTGCACACAAGTTGTGGGGAAAAAACAAAAAAAAAAAAAGAATCGGCAAGGCCATCGTGTTCTTGCATAGCAGATGGCTTTAATTCGGGGCAACTTATACCTTCTTTGCATATTTTTGTGCTGGTTGTGTCATGCCAAATGCCTTTTTGTGTGTGTGTGTGCGCGCGCAGAGGGCCGCTCCTCATCACATAGGTGACGCCACTTTACCCCGCAGTGACCCCAACCTCTCGGCTCCAGACAAAGGTAAAAAAAAAAAAAAAAAAAGCGCCACTTGACTCTGCGCAGCTTGACGGCGTCGCGCTTCTTCCAAAGCTCGCGATGACGCTTGCGGGGGTTCAATTCATCGCTCTCCGACTGCATCAAGCACATCACAGCTATTGTGTTTAGCTCATTAGAGTGGGCGCTGGCATGAGTCATGCCTTTGCAGGCTTTGCTGAGTGATCGGTGTGGAATTTGGAAATGTAAATGCTCATCTAGCAGCAAAGCCCCGGGTTAGTTTTTTTTTTTTTTTTCCTTTTAGCTCGATGGTGAAAAAAAAAAAAAAAAAGTGCGCACATACGTTTCACAAAACCAGCCAGGCGATTTCCTTTCATGAGCGCCGCGACGAAGGAAAACAACCACTGCGAAGTAATGAGCGAAGACTGCGGAAGTGATGGCGGTGCAAATGAGAAAGTGCCGCCACGACGCGGTAAACGCGACACTTTTAAGGTGCCGTACGCCGCAATTAGCGCCGAAGACGACAAGCGTGACAATTTGCAGGAAACCCGCGATTACCTCGAGTGCGTGAAATGACACGTTGGAGTTGCGGATACTCGAGTATCCTGTTGCGACGGTGGGCGTCGTGTCGCACGCGGGCTCACGTGACGTTTCGAGTCGTGAGCTTTTTTCTGAGAAGATGACGAAAAGAGACTCCCGCATGATCATCATAATCATGAAAGATTGCACGGCAGAGAGAACGTTCCCTCGGCACACTCATGTTTTACGTTGCATGGTTGGTCTTTGTGTTTGTGCATGCACCCGCCATCTTGTTATTGTTGTTGTTGTTGTCGTCATGGCGATGATTGTGATGTCCTCCGTTTGCCGTCAAAAGTGCGACCCACGCCCAGTAGCTGGAGCCTGGACAGCGTCAAAGAGGGCGTGTCGTCCTTCTCTGACCCTGTTGGCAAGTTGCTAGTCCCTCCCATCCCTCCCAGGCCACCGTACTCAGGTACAGGTCTTCCATTCCATTCCATTCCGTCCCATTCAGCAAATGTAAACAGATGCTTGAGTGTTTTTTCTCCCCCCTGCTGCCCCCTTGTTGGAAAAGGCGACAGCAGCTGTTGCATGTCTAAAAAGCATTTAAGGCCGCCCCAAGGACCCGCACAACGTTGGCAAGCATTTGATTCATTCACGCCGAAAGCCACGGGGGGGCCGTCTGGGAGCCGCACGTGTGGATGTTTGCATGAGTCACGCTGCGTCACGCTGCGTCGCGCCGGTGGGCGCAAAACTATTTGAATTTGCCCTCCCGTTTCATCGTCTCCTCTCCGTCTCTTGCTTTTCACCGCGCAGGCTCTTCGGCGAAAAACATGAGGTCGCAGTCTCCCATTCTCATGTCCAGGTCGCCGCAAAAGGTTGGTTCTTTTGAGTTACCTCGTCTCGCCGATTGATTGCAGGCTTCGAATGTCAAACAAAAAAAAAAAAAATGCTTATTGACCAAGCGCTAGAAATAGCGTAGAGAGGATAAAGAAGACGTGCCCATGATATTTTCTGGCGTGTTCAAATATCCGTCACTTGTTCAGCTGTTACCGTGTCCTCATTTTCTGTTTTTCCCTTAGCATGAAGCTAAATAATCTTCAGGCAAAGCGATCAGGTTGTTTTAAGTGCACATAGCACGGCTGCAACCCTTGTGCGGAGAAGCGGTTTAGATAATGGGTGGATGGCTGTATAATTCTCTGTTTTCGTGTTTAGTTTGACAGTAAGCTTCAACTGGGGAGTGGCATGAAACCGCTTGAAGGCTCTTTTTGAGATGAATTGTTCAATCTTTGCCAAACTGCCGCTTATGGTGAAGCAAAAAAAAAAAAAAAAAAAAAAAGACTGAATGACAACACATATCCGGAACAAAATTCATTTGTATCTCAAGGTACATCCGCACCTCATTGTATCAAATACTCCACTACTTTCCTATATAGGCGTGGCTTTGATGCCATTTTGTGGCATTTTAAAAAAAGCACACAGGAAACAATTTTGCTGAGAAATGTTGCCGATCAAAAATTTCAAAACAGTGAACCATGAATTTGCGTACGATTTCTGTACAAACATTCATTCCGGAATGTTTTTCTTGACAGGGAGTCCTCTAAGTAGTTTAATCGATATCCTGTAAAGCTTTCGGAAGCAGAGACGGAGCTGTTAATGAGGCTAAAGGCTTCTTTTTTTTTTTTTTCCTCCCCTCCTTCCTCCCGCTCTGTCGTCTTTGTGTGCTCGTCACAAGCGACAGTGCGAAGCGTGCCGCTTTTGTCGCAGGTGACGGCTTGGAGGCAGGAGGGAAAAAAAAAAAAAAAGTGACAGAGCTCATGCGCTGTCAATCACAGCTCTGCGTCAATGCGCGGCGCATGCCGCTTCTGCGGCCCGTTTGTAGTGTCGTCGACAGGCAGTCGGCGACTTCCCGCGGTCAATTCAGTCAGACGGCAATTCCATTGAAACCAGAGTGGGAAGATGAAGTCAAGGTTGTGCGTTTTGTCTCCCCCCTCCACCAGGCCACCATGCCCCCGTTCACGCCGTCGCCCACCGAGTGCCACTCCACAAGCCTGGTCTCCAACTCGCCCGTCCTCTCGGGCAGCTACAGCAGCGGCATCTCCTCGCTCAGCCGCTGCAGCGTGTCAGAGGCGTCGGGCACCGATTCGGCCCCCGACGAGCCCGTCCGCAGAGAGAACAAGACGCCGCCGCCTTACAGCGTCTACGAGAGGAACAACCCCCGCGGCCGCCCCGTGCCGCTGCCCCACAGCCTGTCCATCCCGCCGCAGGCAGACCCCCCGGCCCTGCCCCCCAAACCTCACCAGCTGCGCACGGGCAGCATGAAGCTGGACGGAACCTCGGACCCTCGCGTGCCCAGGCCGAGGCCTCTGCCCCGGAAGGTGTCGCAGCTATAGGAGGACGGCAATGTGACGGCAAAGAAACACACTGGCATTATTTGCACTTTTCTACTGGGCACTCAACTTTTGGGTTGTTTGTTTTTCAGCTCGGAATCCCGTACCTCCGCTCCGATAAAAGGCGGGCGGTTTTTAGAAACGGAGCCTCATTTTTCTATAGCTTGTGTTTACACTTAGTACAGTTTTGATAGGCGTCATCATTGGACATATATTCGGAATAGACTGGATAAGGATTGTTTTTTTTGCCTTAAGTATTGGGAACCGTCAATCTTGCACGTTTTTTTTTTTCTTTCTGCGTCTTTTGTAACAATTGTACATTTGTACACTGTATGGCTAAAATGGTGCTTGAGAAGAAATTAAACACGGATCAATATCGTCATATCCACGCCAGCGATGGTATGATGAAGTGACATTTCCGAATGATTACTTTTTTTTTTTTTTTTTTTAAGCAAAGGTAACTTTACCGTTTGAAGACCAGCAACTTTTTAAGGTTAGTCGTCGAGGCCAGTCGTTTGCTTCGCAACCCACTACCCTCTGTCGACTTTTTTTTTTTTCCAATCAGCTTTGCACTTTTCAATGAAGAAAGTTGGACCAATCACTTGGGCGATTATTGGCATTTTTGCATGCTTTAGAGCCTGGACTTGTCCTTGACCGTATTGCATGACCTTCAACGGTTGGGCTCCATGTATTGTGCCAAAGTATAATGCACAACGGAACATGTTTTTTTGTTTTGTTTTGGTTTTTTTAAATAGTGCCAAGACAACAAAATGAATTGCTCATCTCAGCAGACCATCTGCAACGTGATTTTTGCAGACCCCAAAAATGCTCTACTCTACTGATCATACGCAACTTTTTTTTTTTTTTCCAAGCACAATTCTACGACGCTGTCAGAAACATGACAAGTACTGTTATGTCATCTCTCTTGGACAAAGTAATTGGAGCAGAAATGACATGTAAAGTCGAAACGTAGATTGTTGTTGACGACCCCGTTTAATGGCACCGCCATCGCTCGGTGACGAGTCCATTCTGATGCGTACGCCAGAGGACATTCAGCATCGCATGTTCCTCAGTTGTGAGTTCAGTGATGCTTTTTTTTTTTTTTTTTTTTCCCCAGAATGGGTTAGGTAGGGGGTTAGCTTTAGTATTGTTTGTATGTCTCATTTTTGTAGTTGTTTTATGATTTTTTTTTTTTTTTTAACATGAAATATTTCCATTAATCAGTTCTGGAGAACCTGTAAATTATGTGATGAGATTAATGTAAGTAAGCCAAATATTAAAAAAAAAAAGTATTGCAATTTATGTAAATACTGTGTTTTTAACAAAATGTAGTTATAACGATTTACAGCTTTGAATGTAATGTTGAAGCAGCAAATGATTATTATTATAAATGTGCAAACGTTTATGGGTTTTGTGAGTGTAGAAAAAAAATAAAAGGTCATGCTTTTATGACGCCTAACACATTTACAAGTTCAATAAACGGCCCACTGTAAATGTTGCTTGTTGTGTTATTAGATATTGAATTAAAATTCCATAAAAATCAGCGCCGGGCAAGCTGCTTTAGAAAAAGCGAGGGAAGCCAAAACTGTCAAAAAAAAAAAAGAAAGAAAAGCCTGCATTCTCTGCGCTCGCTGAAGTGGCTTCTCAATGTTGCTCAATGCACTTTTTGCCAATTTATGAGTTAAATCAATTAGACGAAATCACAATTACATTGAATGTGCATCATTCATTATCATCGTGCTTTGTTAATTCACATCCTTAGCATGATTTAAAAAAAACACGCACACAAACGTCCATGTTTGTTTGTATTACAGAGAGACATTACCATGGCAACTCAGCATGAGGAAAAAGTATGTAGAGTTTATATTTACAGTAAATACACACATATAGAGAATTAGTTTTTAATGATATTTATTGAGCAACTACAAAAGTAAATTGTTACAATAACGAAACAGCAATAAGGTAAAAAAAAATGGCAAGAGTTGGGCATGGCACACGATTCCCAAATTCAAAATGGCCACCCTTACATCACTTCCTGTCCTGAAAGGAAGTAGTTAACTCATAATACAGAGAAAAGGTGTCAACTCTGCCATTGCTGTTGAATAAAAGAATAAACAAAATATATAAATGTTATAATTATTATGTTTTTATTGTATTCAAGTAATAAAAAAAATGTTACTGTTGACACCGAGCTCACTTACTACATGGCGTCGAGCACAGGTTTCCTAATTATCAAACAGCTGTCGGCTCTGCACCTGAAAGGAGGCAAAAATGGAATTTGCGGTTGAAAGCTCCATCTATCAATCATTTTTTGTACAGTACCACTTCTCCTAACTGCGGTCATAAGCGAACTGGATATGATTGCAGGTGACTCTTTCTTCGCAAGCCCCACCACCTTCGAAATGTAGGTAAGTGGAAAGCGGCTGGTTCAAAATAATAATTCACTCGCAAGTTTTGTTCGACCGAGAGTTTTGTCTGTCTTGCCGACAAAGTGTTCTTTTTGCCTTGAGTGCTTCGTCCATGTGTTGGTTTGTTTTTTTGCCTTGCTTGTAAACAGACAGCAACCAGCGCTCGTGGTAATTATCCACTCTCAGCTGTCATTTCACAACAATTGTTCTCTGCAGTGATGGGGAGTCATTTTTCCACTTGGATCCATCGTCAAGGGACGGCCGCCGTGGAGAGCACTGACAAGGGCCCAAAGAAAAAGACACCAAGGTAACATTTGCGGAGTGAAGCATTGTTACGTGCTCCGGGTGTCATGTAAACATTGCCTGCCTTGCACAGCTGCTGTAATTGTCCACACGTTGAGCACCTTTTTCGGGGCATTCATTGCATTCAGCGTGAGGTTTCCGCAGTGCCATTCTGGCATCTTAAACAGCCTCCATTTGGAGCATTCACGCGTAATGATACGGAATTATCAAAAGCTGGGAGGGGAAGACGGCGCCGGGTATTAATGCCGCGCTGCCTGGGGTGAATTTTGGTGGAACGCGCATCCGCGGAGAAACCCAAAGGCGTTTCTCTCGTTTTCTATATCACTCCAGGGAGAATGGGAAACGTCTTATCTGACTTGTGCACTCAGAGACTTGATCTGTTGTCTCCTCGTAGATTATTGGGGGTTGGTGGGGTAGATGATTCCCCAAATTGAGTTTTTTTTCGACTGGCTTCAGTCCTCGGAGGGGCCGTCACTTCATCCCCCAAACGGGAGAGATGACAAGTTTGTTTCCAGCGCTTTGAAAGCGGATCAAGACACAAAAAAAAAAGAGAGACGGCAGGGAAATAGTGTTGTGCGGATGGGAAGTCTTGCGTGACATATCCTGGATTTGGGCGCAGGAAGGTGTTAGTGGACGCAAGGAGCAATTCCGCCTTTTGTGTAGAAACACTGGCTTTGATTTGTTGTGAGGCACACCGAGAAGATGTTTACCATTCAGAAATAGTGGACACGTGCAGTGTGATTTGAGAAATAATGGAAATAAATAGCAGGGGGGGAAAAAATAAATTATTAGGCGGCTTGGGTTAGGATGTTTTTCATTGTGGGTGTTGGTTCGTTTTGAATAGTTTTATCAAAAATTCTCTTGTTTTTACAGTAAGTTTTTTGTAGTTTTAGTTGATCCACTGCATGAGATTTTTATGCCACAATGCAGTGTACTTTGTACACTCGGCTGGCCAATCACTGCCAAGTAACATGGACTTTTGTCTCCGAATAGTTAGAGGATCCAATTTTGATGTCATTGCGGTTTGGTTGGTCTATATTTATTTATAAATCGAGGCAATTGCTGCACCTGCTAAATGACACGAGAGCGATTGTACACTGATGAAATGAGTTAATGTTGACAATTAATTTGAATTTATCCGCTTGTTAATTTGCCCCGCTCTACTTTGTGTGCATGTGTCCATCGTCATCGAGTTATGAGCAATGTGCGATTTGGCGCCGCGTATAAAATCTCCTTGTAGGGCCAGCAAAATCCCAGGGAAAAAAAAAAAAAATTCTGTCAATAAAAATTAGGAACCGAATCGTTGGCAATAGGCAGCCTCGGTAGTTGGAACGCAGCCCACGACACCGTTGCCGTCTTTGTCCACCTTCGCTGTTGACATTTCCTGGCGTCCTGCCGATTGCAAATGACGATTTGTCACATGTTATGATGCGGCTCCTTTGTTCCCCGGCAACGAGAAGTCCTTGGTGGCCCTTGCACGAACTCTTTTCAAATCTTCTTCACAGACACAAAGACTTTACTGCAAGTGAGAAATTTCATGGCTCGAGTCAGACTTGCATGGTAACGATCAAGCGCGATATATCCGCGGTGCACTGAATCACAAACGGTTTCAAAAAAAAAAAAAAAAAAAAAAAACGGCGTTTGCAAAAGTAAAGATACGTTTCTCGTTGCATATCAGTTCCCAGTCGCGCGTTCTCCGCAGGTTATCCGGCTTCATCGGAAGCTTGGCTCTAATCGTAGTGAGAGGAGGGCGCTTGTGGCCTGTGAGGGAGGATGGCGAAGCAGTTGGGCAGGGTGTCCGTAGCGGAGCGCGTCAGGACTGCGGCCCCCGATCCATCTGTCTTCATCAGTGAGCCGGTGGTGTGCGCTGACCGAGGCCCGCAGGAGCTCGCAAAGCACCAGCTGCTAGCTGCCTTTTATGCTGATTCCCACCGAGTGGGACATATTTACACTAATATCAGACCGGAGAGTCTCTCAGCTCCAGTTCTCACTTTAAAAAAAAAAAAAGCTCCAACATAACCGAAGCATACTAGTTGAAACCTTCCCGAGGTAGCCCCGGTGACGGTTACTTTCCCTCGGGTGATTTCACTTGGATTTCCACCTCCGACTGTGATGTTCATTGCTTATTGAAGCGACGCGTTTTGGTGACGGCAACGATTGGACGACAAGCTGTTCCCCAGCATGGCCTGATGCTAATTGCCCTCCTCGAAACTGTCGCCTTCTATCGACGAAGACCACGAGCTCCAAATGATGGTGCCAGCCTGGTGGAGACCCCGAAGCCAAGACTCCCTCCCGTCCGAGTGCAAATCAATTGCGGCCTGAAGGGCAATGCGATTAGTACTCACTAATGTGCTTCTTTTTTTCCCCCCACGTTTCCCATCTACAAGCTTTTTATTTGGTCTGTGAATTGGAAATGCACATTAAGAAAGTATAAAGTTGGGGAAATGTCTTTTTAAAAGACCCGCATTATTTCAACTCTTTGTATTCAAAGTATGTTTTGCGATTGGATTGCCAAAGGAACAGCGAGTGCTTTCCAATGAAGCTGCAAAGCTGAATTTGTGGCGCCTTAAAACACACTTTCCAATGATTGCAAACACATTAAAGCACGCAATACGTTGAGAGAGAGCAAGTGCAATCGACGAACTGCATACCAGTCACTCTGTTTTTCAGGCAAACAAATTGTTTCGTTTTTTAAAAAATATTCCTAACAAACATTATAACATTACCTTAAGCGGCCGTTGTCCCTTTCTGTTGGCCTAAAAAACAGGATCACAGAGGATGAACTCGAGTATATTCGAACAAAGTCTAGGTTGCGCTGGAGTTAACTTCCTATTTTGTTAGTTATTTGCGGTACAAAATGTCTATTAAGCCGAGTTAGCTGTTAAAAAATTGCACTGCATGTCAGTGTATATGGAGAGTGTCGTCATGTACTTGCCTCCAACATCCACTTTAGTAAATGAAATGAGCCTCAGTCAGACCTGCAGCGCTCGTATCTGATAAAGACCGCATGTCTTCGTCCATCATCTCCTTCGCCGTATGGAAAGAACGAAATGTCGGCCCGCTCCGGTCACGATGCTTTCAACGGAGTCGGCTCCCGCGCAACAATCGCGCTCATTTTGTGTGTGCGTGCGCGTGAGAGATGAGAGAATTGATGCCGGTGGCGCGGTGACATTCGCTGGCAGGGCATAAAAGGAAAATATCCTGTTCGCCATCTTGGCCCGTCGTAAGGAGACACGAAGCCACGGGGAGCCGAGATGGAGGGACGCAGGTGTTTGTGGGTGGTGTCACGTCGCACTTGTCACGCTTGTGCGTGCGTGTGTGCGTGAGAATGCTCTGCCATGTGTGTCCTGTGAGGCGGACAAAACCTCCAAATGCTAAATCGACTAAAGTACGACAGTGGTTTCGTTTGCACGCTTTGTAACGGGATGAATGGCATCAGAGCTGTTGCCATGGCAACGGTGGATTACTATCACTCAATATTAGTGACCTGTCCTGGACAGCTCAGGCTCGCATGGTGCAAATGTGATGCTCATCATGCATGTGAGAACAGAAAGTAGCCCAAAAAAATTATTCCCCCCCCCCCCGACCCCCCCAATCCCTGCCAGAGACATCAAACATTCTCTCGTGTGCATTTTAACGCTCTCAAAAACGCAGGGATTGATTCGTCTTATTTTTCCGAATGTTTGTATTTCAACGGTTTGACTGGAATTAGATAAAATGAGTCCCGGTTCAAGCATCGTTCGGTCGTTTCCTTTTGCTTTGACGGGACTGACTTCGGCTTTT